GTTAAATGAACGATAATCGATAATCATAAGAACAGCCTGCTCACTTGCCAACTTTTTACTTTAAAAAGATGGTCGTGCACCTACCACTTAATCATATTATATCTATAAAATAAAAGCCTGTAAATGGTTTTTATTTAACTTCTGGAAAAGAATTATCACGAAAAACTCTTAAAAGATGTATGAATAGACTGCTTTATGATTGCCTGTAGTCATGGAGTATGATATTATCTTTATAATTACCATGAAGTTATTGCCTTTTTGCGATATTGGGGTTAAAAAAATGTTTTCATTCTTCACGTTCTGTGTATGAACGAACATATGATGCATTGATTTCTAGCGGACTAGTTTTTACCGCACGAAAGCTTTTTAGTATTAAAGAGAGATATATTTGTTTCTATAACGAAAATTTGAACTGTTTTGTCGAATGGCATTTAAATTTGCATTGCAAAATAATAATGTCAGAACATTTTGATAATTGTCATATTTGAGAGACCTTCATGTTGTGAAAAATTAAAAATAAATACAAATGAAAACAGACTTTTGTTTTACTTAGACGATGGTAGTGTCAAGATCATTTAATGGGTTGGTATGATCGGAAAACTACCACAACCACACGAGTAATTTATACGTTTGCATTTTATCGACTAAAGTAGTAACAGAGGCTCTTGGGAAGGTAATAGCTATCACTACTGTAACACAACGAGAATGTGGATATCTATTGGTTGCTTTAATAACTTGACATCGTGAACCACATTCTTGTTTTTATCACCTCCTGTAGTAAATTATAACTATTACTAAACTTAATGACCTAATTCCATCTGTTATCTGTACATCCCTTACCCCAGTAATAGCATATATATTTTACTAAAAATAAAATTGAATTTTGATTTCAATTAAACGATTATCAATTATTAATTTCGATATAAAAGATAAAGATCAGGAATTTATATAATTCGCTGTATACTTTTTGATTAGGCTGTGAGGTTCGTGTTACCAACATATTGAGGTATCTTATTTTACAATCAGAACCATGGCTGTTGCTTAACCTATCAGGGCCGTGAAGTCCTCTACACATTTTAGTGCGTTGCATTATCACGGTCTATTGCCGGACAAAATACGTTCCGCCGTTTACCGGCCATTGAAATCGTAACAGGGATTAATTGCGTGTATAATTGAATCTTACGGCCGAGGGCACACGTATGAAGGGATACGGGACAGAACCAGCGTGGCCCCCGGTGAGGATGACCGCAGTTGACCCCGTCTTATCCTCTTAACCGAATTACAACGCCACGATAAACAACTCGCCGAGGAAATCGTGAATGCGCACCGATATCGGGAAATCGTAATGTAATCAAATCAAAATCTACGTGCATCAATTGCTTTCTTTGAAAAGATGTATTGTTTTACTATAATTTATTATTTATTACACGTAAGGTTGACACGTTTAAAGCAATAATTGTTTTTATCGCTTTGTACCAAAAATGTCTTCGTGCTAAGTAAAGCAAGCGTCACGTCCACTGAATTTAAGAATCTTACCGCTTATGTAGGGCATATTTAAGCTCTCCTATAATTAGCTGATACTGTTGTCGAATATATTTTTTAATTACGAACTAGGTACTGTTCATTTTCTAGTTGGTTTAGTCATTTGTTGCATTGTATTCTATAAAATATTTAATGCTATCTAGCAACGGTATGAAAGTACTTTCGTTTATTACTCAAAATGTCACTCACGTTCCGACTTAGCAAAGTCGAAGACCCAACCTACATACGCTAGAAGTTTTCTATCATAGAGCTCTGGCAGTATTAGAAACTGAAACGCACGTGAGAAGAGTAGATTCGTTGATTACAGTTTATTGTCGTATTAGTTGCCTAAACAAGTTATAAAAACAAAATTCTTTTAGAGTTTTAAATGATTTCTTTGAATTGAATTAGCAAGGCTCACGAGTAATTGCGTACAGTGTATCACATTTTTTTAACCGCTCCATAAGTCGGCTTGTTGGGGCTTCTTGAAAATTTACCGTATTTCTAAATTTCTGATCACTAGGGCTTCAATCTGTAATGTTTGATACATTTAAAATTATAATGACAATCATCCACGAAACCATCCATAATTCACAACGACGTTCCGAGTTGTTATAAAAAACAAAACCCGCCATCACTTCTCAAATTTATATGTTTTCTTGATGTTACTGATATGTTTGATATTATTAATTTGCGTTATATAAATATTTTCCCTTCACGCTGGTCTTCAGCCAGTCCGCCCCAATTTATCGGCCGAGCAATCCCATGTTTCGTGGAATCACATAGCTCTACCACAGTGAGAGGACAAGCTATATTTCAAACGCTGATAAAGAACGAAACTCAGTCACTTCAATCAATGTATACTAAACATTTAAAACTTTTAATTAGTGTTGCAATACGTTAACTTCACGCTGGTCTTCAAGCAAGCCTGGCAATTCTTCGGGCGAGTAGACCCATGCTTTAAGAGTCTACACGGCTCTACCACAGAGAGAGCATACGACAACCCGGAAGCTAGCCGCATTACAGGAAAGTCAGGCTGGATGCAGATAGCTGCTGACCTCGTACTAATTACTGGACCGTAGCGTGGCGACAATGCGCTATTAAGCGGACATCCGACGCGGAATGCGCGCGCCCGATTTGCATTTGTTTGGAGTTAGATCGCCGGCATCAGCGACCGCAACTCTTTGTCCCACCTGTGCTGCCTCGCTATGCCGCTACACACGATTTAACGACAAATGAATGAGACAGCCTACCTGTCTGTACTGTAATGTATCTATAGCTGCATAACTAAACGTAAATAAATAAACTCCAAGACATATTTTTTCATAACATTAGTAAAGTCCCAAACTAAGAAAAGCTAGTGGTATATACGTAAGTTACAAAAACTTTTTGTAAATAAAATATATAATAAAAAATACTTAGATTGCAATAATAATAATAGCATAATTTAATCCCCCCTCCTCATTCCACTATCCAACAACTAGACACTGTTGCGTCTAGTTGTCCAATGTCCAATGACCACACCTACGAATGAAGAGATTTCCTAATGCGTACAGAAAAGGAGTGAAGAGTCACTATCTGAATTTTACCGCCTTAACTATTATCATATTTTGTAATAAGGACTACACTATTTTGAAGTTGATTGCAAATGTCATATTGAATATTTTGTCAAAATTTAATTAAATTATATATAATAATAGCTGTGCCCGCGACAAAGTCCGTGTGGAATTTAAAATAAAAAAAAATCTAAAATAAAAGTAGCCTAAGCTATCTGTGAGTGAAAGTCCCGTCCTAATCGGATTCCGAGTGCCGTTTCAGAGATTAGCCAGAACAAACAGACAGACAGACAGACAGACAAAAATTGTAAAAAATATTATTTTGATATATGCACCGTGTATACATCTATATGCATTTAGTAAAAACGGTTATTTTAATATTACAAACAGACACTCCAATTTTATTTATCTGTATAGACGTATTAGATAATGTGGTAATTTTCACTGTGGTATGGCCACGCAGTACTTTACGAATGGGGAGACTCGTTTAGGGAAGTAGCACGGCCTTACAGAAGACCAACGTGAAGTAGCAGTATTACACTTACTACTTTCGTGTTTCGTCTGGTGCGTAAGGTAACCAGGACCCATATTGGGAGCAAAGTATCTGCGTCCATCAGGCATACGGCAGTAATCACTTAACTTGAAGTGAATCGTCAGCTCCCTTACCAATTTCTCACATAAAAAATATCACGATCATATCAGAATATTTTCACATTTATACACCGTTTCCTATGTGAGATCAGTCTGACATTATGTCAAAGTATCTATCGCTGCCATGAATCTAATGCATTTTGAATTAAATTGTACAAAATTAAATTATAGATACTAAGTACGGATTATTCAAAACCTGTCTTATTTATACGCGCTGGGACTCTAATACAGCATACGAACAAAGCCACTCGACTTTAGTAACCTTAATTGATATTCATTAATGTATGCGACAGATAAATAAATGGAAACGGAAAAAAAATTGACTTTTTAATAACAAATGACTGCCGTTCGGCATTTAATTGACTGCTCGCGTTTACTCCCACCTTATTAGTGAGATAAGTTATTAATTGGACATAGAAAGTAATGAAAAATGGCGCCCCAGCTTATCTGTGTTAAGGGAAGATGAAGTCGGGGCCCCAACCGACGCGAGGCGTCGGTCGGTGTCATTAACAAAGCCTCATGGAGCCGATATCTCCAGCTACCCTCACTTACCGGCGTCGGATAACTGCTTGCTCCTTATCGAAATGATATTCAACTCCAACTTTTTACACTCATTTCATTTAATTGACTAATGATCAAGTATGTTAAAGTGATTATTTATTTTCAATGCTACTTTTTTAAAAAGATGGAAGTTTAGTGACTTTATTTTGTTTAAAATTTATTTTTCAATGTTTTCAATCGCTCGCACTCTTATGTATTATATTAAAAGTTGCTAATTTATTTCAATGACTGCGATGACTCCCTCGATTATTTAATGACTCGGATTTAAGAACGGTGTTATATCAAAAATATTATTACTTTCTGTTTTACGTCTTGTGATTTAATATTACAAATATTTCTTTATATCTGAGAATGTTTTCATGAAAGCTTCATCCATTGATACGTTGAAAAACCTCACATATGACATACGATGTAAATGGACTATGTACCTGCTGATTTGCTTTATTTTCTTATCTCTGATATTGTTCTTATGCTCATATAAAGGGAAAGATTATTGAGTTGGTATATATGGTGATATATCCTTATATCCATTAGAAAAACTAACGCGAAACGTTATTCGGGTTGCCTTTAGTCACTCAACTATGGCGTAACGCCAAAAAATCCGCACCTTCCTTGCCCGTTTGGAACGAAAGTAGATAGGGACGTCGTCTTCTGTTGAAATATATCGTCCCCCGGCTTGTAGCGCACTCCAAAGCCGCACCCGCCTCTGATATGCAAATAGGCTCCGGCGCGATCGTAAACCGTTCCATATCAGATAACGCAGCTCCTCCGCAGTACAGCAAGTTCAAGTAATTTCATTGTTATTGCGGTCCCAATTATATCAATTCTTATATTTTGCGCTCCCCTCTCTCTAGTAGATAACGTCTAAATGAGCTGTCTCCGTAATTTTAATTGGTTCCGACTAAACAATCACAATTAAAAAACACATCATAAATAGGGTTTCTACAATTACTTCAATTGATCGTTATAGTAATGGTTTGTTACGCAAGGCATTAGGAAATTTCAAAGAAATACTGGTATTATGGTATTATATTGTTTCTATAATTGCTTAAGGTGTTTTCTATTTACATCGACGAAGACAGATGTCGGCGGTAACCCACGAGAGGCTCGGAGCGCGTAGCTACCTGCTCTGCCTATCAAACATCTTGGCCCCTCTTTTTGCTTATCTTTCGTAATATATTATTCCAAAGAAATACTAAAAACACGTCACTAGTCGTACTTTAATTTCATTTTAACTTTGTACAATATCGTGCTCATTACGTCTAATATACAAAACTTAAACAAAACGTAAATAACGTTTGCCAGAAAAAATAAAAAAATTTCCAACGTAGCTTGATATAAATTTAAATAAATGCAACTGGTAAATTACCACTTATTCTCTAAAACTTAACATCTCTCAATATCCTACCTTCAAATTAAAAGTCAGAACATAAAACTTAAATTACAAGCAATTGAGCTTTTTATTTTAAAAATTCGTAATTTCCATCCGGTAAATCTCACTTAAAACATTTTTGGTTAAATGTACCTAAAACTCTCGTTTAACCGCTACACCGTTCAGTAATAATCGGCAAAGTTTTAAATATAGCGAAACATCTGCCATTTAAGTAGTCTTTTGTGACTCTACCAACAATGTAGTAGAGTTCCAATGTGGAATCGACCAACGCGGCGCAGGAAATAATAAGACGCTGACACCTAACTATAATGCTCAATTACGTAGATTGGCTTCAGGAGCACATTGTTAGCTTAATGCGAATCCGACTGACTAGTCTCCAAATTATCATTGCAGTATTACTGCATAAATTAAATGTTGTAAACTGTGATTATACCCGCTATTTTTACTACAGACTCGTATACTATATTCATTATAATTTAATAATGTTTACATATCTACTGACGACACTATGGCGCAGTTGCCCTTCGCCACCGGGGGTCATGGGTTCGATTCCCACACGGGACCACTATTTGTGTGACCCACAAATAATTGTTTTGAATCTGGATGTTTATCCGAGTGAAATTTATGTATGTAAAGCTTCCTTACAACACAAAGTAATGTTATGCTACAGTAAGTTGCCCTTTTCTTCATTATTTTCATTGCCCTACTCTTAAAAAAAGGATACGAAGAAAAAAATAACGTTTATTGTCTGCTATAGGAGCACTACCACTCTTAATATGTCCTACTTGTCTTACATCCTAATGTACTTTCCATTACTCTTAAGCAAATTATAAATTTATATATAGCAAATTAAGTTTATGTGAGAAATGTAAAAATATTTTATTATTAAATATTTAATATAAATGTACATAACACTAACAAACGTTAAAACATCCACCCATCCACGTGCCTATTTAATTTTAATCTTCCTTTCATTATTCTTTATAAACTACCTGGTATAAATTTTAAATAAAAGTTGGAACGGTCGTACCCAGGTAGCTGTCATAAGGCCGCTCTATCCTCTATTAAATCAAAATGGACTTACGGTCTTCTTTTTTAGTGTTAACAGCATATGTTCATAATAGTTAATGAATAAATTTCAGAATATACTTATTTTAATTCAATGCAAAAAAAATCGTTTTAATGTTTTTAGTCAGTACTGCAACTGATTGAACATGTCTTCTCCAAAACTTTGGCTTACGTGTGGTAAGCAAAGTTTCAACTTCTTGTTACTTATATTCGAGCAGAGGCCGTCTCCTAACTCTATTATTACCCTTCGAAATCGACAAAGTACGTTTCTATTTTATTGCCCCTCATTTAAAAGCGTCAACACAAAACAAAAAACGATGTAGAACTGGCAACGCTTGCAGCGAGGTGAGCGCGGGAACGACGCGCGCGCATGTTGTGAAAGAGATAGAAAAGCCAGTTGGGCGAGTTTGTGGGGCGCCCCGCTACCGCCCGCGCCGCAGTGCCGCCGCCGTCTCCGACAGCGTTGCTTGTGTATCAGCGTTGTTGACCGCACGACTTTCAATACGGCGTCCACTGTAAACACCGCACTGCATAAAGCAAACTGTTACGTTACACTCTCCTACTTCCCAGAAACCGGTTACTCCTGTGATTTCTATGTGACACGTACCCATTGTGTGATTTCTGTGCGACCGTGAAATAATTTTGAATGAATCTTAACAAGATAACTCATAACTCATTGAAAGTGCCTGTGAAATTATTTTATCGCCAGTGCAATTAATGATATATGAGTGAAACAAACGGATGTTCCTTAATTGGATTGTTATATACAAGCGAATGTTCTTGGTGAGTATTTTAAGTTCTCTACAACTTTTATACATAGTCAAACGTGAGCCCGCTTCAACAAAAAGTTGTATCGTATAGGGGGCGATGGAGTGTGCGGGTATTGTTGACACGCCTACGCTTACCATCCGTTCTAAATTTTGTGGACTTCCACACCAATATTAAATGTATACGGAATAATAACAGAAATATAAAGATAGTTTTTAATTGTGTTGAGTACCTTAGAAATGTTTATATAACGATCCATTCTCTCAGGAAACATGCGATACATAATTGTGGTCGTACAATGAAGGGAAATCAAAAAACCTCATTATGGCAGTGATGATGATACCATCATTAACAAAAGTTCTACATTTTTAACAAACTCCTATCGAAAGAAAAAAATAACGAAAGAACTGCAATTCATAAAATGTAGGAATGTATTAGCCACATAAAAGTCGACTTCGCTCTAGTAGATATTCTAACAATCCCCATTTCAAAGTAAGAATTATGGCCGCCGCAGGCGCTGCAAGCAATTTCGTCGTAGGTCCGCGCTACGAGCCATCCACCGATGCTGATGAAGCGTAGTAATAACGCATGTAAATTCCAAATGCTACTTTCGTTTTCTTTGAAATTCTAAGTATGAACATGGTACAATTTTACATAATTAAAATCAGTCATTAAAGCATATTGGTATATCTTAAATGATAGCTAGTATACACAAAACGCAAAAACTCACTATCCTTTAAACCATTTGTATCGTTTATTTTACTTTTACAAAAATTCAAAAACCAAGTGTAATCCTACCTGCTTAGCTATATTTTATCACACCCGTCTGATTTTTACAATGCCAAAATTCAAAAACCAAGTGTAATCCTACCTGCTTGCGATCCTAGCTGCTTAGCGACCTGGTTCATAAAGATCGGACGCCTGCGATGGGCAGGACACGTGGTGCGAATGGACGAGGCCAGAGTACCCAAATGCCTTCTGGAGGGCCGGCCGGAGGGCCGCAGGAGTAGAGGCAGGCCCAGGCTCAGGTGGTTAGATGGCGTCGAACAAGACACCAAGATGTTGGGAGTTATAGGCTGGAAAAACAAAGCCATGAATAGATCGGACTGGAAAGATTTGCTTGACCAGGCTAAAGCCCACCCGCGGCGGTAATGCCTCAGATGATGATGATGTCTGATTTTTACAATGCCAACATTATGATTAAGAGAAACAGTTACTCATCATAGTATCCTCCCCTTCACAGATGCCACCACAGCCTATTCAACCAACATTTTCTCAATCGACCATTTATACAATTAGTTTTTATCAAAATACGTCGTATCTTGAGCTGGTTTGGTGTTCCTGAATTCCTTTTCTTTCTTTCTTTGATGAAAAACATTGCCCTTACTTTGGGACAACATTATCCTGTGTTGCAAGTACGTTTTACAAAAATAAATCTATGTTTATGAATAAAATGCTACCTCTTAAGTCAAGGGTAAAAAAAATAATTTTAAACATTCTACAATAATGCTGTTCATCACCCCAAATCGGCCCAAGTCTGGAAAGACAACCATTTAAATTTTTATGAAAACTTTCTTAAGCAGCGACTTGCATATTTAATGTAAATAGTATTTATGCATTATAATTAATAATATCACAGTATACATTTAATTTTTTAGCGTGCTCCCACGCAAGACTAAACCTATTCGGAACTAATAGCGCAATACTTTTTGGTAAAACTTCACAAACATCCATCTAGTTTATAATTTCAAGAGCCCCTATTTCTAAATTTCTATTAACGCGAGCTTTCGTGCCATTTCCCCCATCCAACCGATGTATGCTTTGTCTCTTTCTGACTCTACAATTTTCGACGGTCCAACTCGTGCATTCGTTAAGTGGTCGCTTAATGAAAAAATGTCGTAAATTTTTTCGTCGTTAGTTTATTTGATGTTTGTATAAATTCTGTACGTTATGACGTAAACAAATTCCTGAACGTTTATTTTTATTTAAACACATATTGTAAACAGTGAAAAAATTGGTAAAGTGCTAAAGGTGAACACGAATGATTGGTCTCTAGCAGTACGAGTACACGTTCACAACTTGCAAATGATGCTTTGTCTCTTAAAGATTTTATATGAAGTATTGTTATTAGATTCTCTAAGTATTCACTAACACAAAACATTAAATATTTTGTACGAGTGCATACTTAGAGAACCTAAATGGTAATAATTATTAAAATCCATATAAAGATAACCAACCGCGCATACGATGACGAGCTGGGCTCGTGGGATCCTGCCCAGTGGTATTACAAGTGGTTAACTTTCATAAGTGCCCGGAGGCAGCCGCGTCAAGTTTCGGACTCAATAATATCGGTGAAAAGAGACTGGCACTAATTTTCTATTTAAACGACAAACAACTAAAAAAGCGGTTGGGGAGTTTAAGAGCGCTGCCGTATAATAGCAATGAACTTCGATCACTTATTATTGTTTACAAATAGACAAAACGATAGGACGGTTTAGTAAACGGGAATCCACCAAATGAATGACTTTATCAACATCCTGCGTAATTGCGTATGCGTCATATTATGTCAAGATAGTAGTTGAGAGCGTTCACGTTAATGGGGATGCCAGATGGACCGGAAAAACGAATTATGAAACACTTCAGCTGAGAAATGTGTTAATGTAAATTGTGTCTTACTGCGACTTTAGCGGGGCCCATTGTCATAACAGTGAAAGCTAAATTTAATAAATACATAACTTCAAATATATACAAAAAAGAAGAGGAAAAAGTTGCCAGAATCAATTTTCCCGCCCGAGAACAATCACTGTTTTCAAGGCAAAAATTAACGGGCTTATACTGAATAATCGTTACTTGTTTAAGACCTAAGACACTGCAACACTGCTTGGAAGCTAAATGGTATTCAAGGATTAGCTAGTTTTTAAGAATGAAAAGTTACACCGTGTGAAAATTTTCTTAAACAAAACCAATACACACAGTGTTATTAATCAATCGTTCCACTAGCTGTTCTAAACAAAGTCATATTGTTGAATCACTTTGAGTAAAGTAACATGTCATGAATCCTACGTGTTCGGGAAAGTAATTGGCGGTCAACGAAATTGGATCAATCTAAAAATACGACGGCAAACATTCAATCATTTCAAGTAGTGTGGACAAATCAGAGAAGTTATATTCTAGTGACTTTTCTCTGTATAGTTGCTCTACACTAATCTTCAATATTTCCACACGAAACACACTATCGTTGCTCAAAATGTGTAACATTGAAAAACATATACAGTGCTGACACTAAATATATCAAAATTGACACTGAATATAATTTATGAATTAATCGATTTACTGCTAAGGAATGTGTTTTTAGTGTTTAACTTAATATATTAGCTCGACTCATTGTCGTGAATGGTGCCAGGATGGTCGTTTCTTTTCTCTCTCAAAGATTAGGTAGCTATCGAGGAAATACAGCTACATTATATAATATTTCATTAAATTGTAGGTATTTAAGATTTTTCTAAAACCGATATGTATAATGTTATATCATGAAACAAAATTAAAAAGTTTCATGGACCATCCATTTCTCTCTTTATAATATATTTTATATGGGAGAACTTAACAGGATTTTCATTAAACATTATTCTTCCAGATTAAAATCCTAGCTTACTGGAGCGTACAGTGAGATACGGAAAAACTTTATAAATTTCAAAGTAAAAGAATCCAAACTTATTTCACATCTTTGATCTTTGAAATTGCTACCATATTTTTAATCTCCTAGATCAATATGATTGTAATGAAAGCCAAATTGGCCTTAAAAAATTGGATGCTCAAAGTTTAATTCATCATTCGAAGTTATTTAAAAAGAATTAAAATATAGTTCAAAAATAATATTGTAAAAGTAACACCACGTTGTAAGTTATGTTTATTTCTCTCCTACTATTATAAATATTGCATTAAAAATAAAATCCTTTCCTCCCTTACAAGTTAAAAACAATTAAGTGTCATTCTGAACGTACACAAATTAGCACGAGTGGCACCTTTGTCATTACATTAGTATACGAAGTGTGATCAAATACGAAGGCAAGGTAAATATTATCATTCATCAACGTTCCACTTTTGTAAACAATTTAACGATAACGCATAAACTGAATATCACTAAACGAATACTGCATTTTGTTTAATTGTTATACACATCAAAGTTATTTAAATTAATATTTTAATGCATTGCACACAGTTTGATCACTTGCGTGCACCATTCGTATGCTAAAATATATTCGTATTTTATCCAGTCTCGTCACGTAAGAAGTTATCCCCATACAGTTTCGACGTTCATGTAGCCAACATTTCACGCGTGACAACGCCCGAAGCGGCCAATAAATTATACTGTGATATAGAAAATGCGACTAACTTCAGCGTCGATCCCGTATGCTAACCACTCGCGGCTTTGTTGATAAATCTCCCGCAGTCATCCCCGGTTGCTGGGAGCTGACGTATTTTAATGTACCTACAACTGAGCGAACGCAATTTTGCAACGATCATGTCTAAGGGACAAAATTGAAAGGCATTTAAATAGTCGCAATGCATCCAGGATATGACAACCTCTCTGTATTTTTGGGTAGCCTGGTAATTTAATAATAATGTTGTTCTAAAATATATTTTTTTTTATTTTCTCGCAGGTTCTTCGCCGATCTGTACTTTTGAGGACTTGTAGCAAGCCTTAAATTAAGCAAATTAATTTTTACTTCCTTATGATTAACATGATT